CTGGGGTGGCCATGAGTGTGCCACTGCACTCCAACCTGGATGATGGAGTGAGACTTCAACTTAAAAAAAAAAAAGCGACCCCAGCCACTGCTACGAGATCTAATTAACTGAGCACTTACGATGGACCAAACTCTGTGCTACACCCAAGATTAAGGGACTGGTATCATCACTATTTTATAGATAACGTGATTGAGGAATAGAAAGGTTATGTGCCTTGCCCAAGGTCACACAGCTAGTGAATGGAAGAGCCGGGGTTCAACCCTGCACTATTATGTTATACTGCCTCTTGGCAAAGGCCCAAACAGCTGGGGGGTGTGGGGACCAAGAAAGGATGGAATTGGGGTTGCTCTTGGGTGTTGTGGAGGAGAGTCTCACCTGAGCGAAGTCAGCCGGCAGCCAGAGTAGAGGGAGGCGACATTGCTCTTCTGGAACAAGGGCTCGAGCTGGGAAGGAAGGGGAGAGACGTGAGCGGGAGAGGCCAAGACACTGGAATGGCGGGCATGAGTGGGGGGCTCTCACCAGGTGCTGCAGGGTCCTCTCTGTGGCGGTGAATATCTCAGAGCCTGGGTGCCCCATGTCCTTTGTGTAGTGCAGGTTGGTGATGGTGAAGTTGACGGTAAAAGGTATCAACACAGGCACTTCAGCTGTAGAAGGAGGTAGGAAGAAACCAGCACCGAGTCAGGCCCCAGGCTGGAGGTGGAAGGAAAGGCTCTGAGGACATCCTTTCACTCTAGTACAGACCTGGGGTCCAGCCTGGGTCAAAATTACTGAAATTTTTTTTTTCAGCAGTCACTGTCTAAGACCTTTCTACATAGGGCAACTAACTATCCCGTTTGTTTGGAACTGTATGAGTTCCTGCAATATAGACTTTCAGTTTTAAAAGTGAGACAGGACTGGGCATGGCGGCTCACGCATGTAATCCCAGCACTTTGGGAGGCTGAGGCTGGAGGATCACTTGAGCCCAGGAGTTCGAGGCCAGTGAGATCTCGTCTCTAAAAAAAATTTTAAAATTAGCAGGTGTGGTGGTGCATGCCTGTTTTCCCAGCTACTTGGGAGGCTGAGGCAGGAGGATCACCTGAGCTCAGGAGGTGGAAACTGCAGTGAGTCATGACTGTGCCACTGCATTCCAGAGTGGACAACAGAGTGAGACTCTGACTCAAAATAAATAAATTAATTAAGTAAATGAAAATGAGACAGTCTCGGGCATACCTGGTTGAGTGGGTCACCCTCCTCCCATGACCTCTTGGCTCTTACCATATCACTACGCACCAACACCCACATCTCTTTGTCTTAGGGGAATTTACAGGCCCAGGGAGCATCCCTCTAGCAATGGTTGATGGGAATGGTAGGATAAATACACAGCTCCCTCACACCTCAGGTGGATGTCTCTAAGGTGATGTTCTCTTTGTTTTCCCAGAATTCCTCTCTAGCCTCCAGAGCTGTGGGACAATATATTTCTGTTTTTTAAATATCCAGTGTGTGACACTGTGTTGCAGCAGACCTAGTAAACAAATACTCAATATGACATAGCAATTCCTTTCTAAGTATATACCTCCAAAGAATTGAAAACAAGGACTCAGATCCATATGCATTGGTGTTCACTGTGACATTATTCCAACATAGAAAGTCCCAACTTATGAACAAGTTCTATTCTTAGAGTGTGTTTGCAAGTCCAATTTTGTTTTAAGTCCAACAAAGTTAGTCTAGGTACTCTACACAGTACTGTATGTATTTAACAGGATATACTGAAACCTGACAGAAAGAAATAATCTATTTAAAAAACACAGGTGGGCATCGTTAAAGTTTGTAACATGAAGGTTCGTACATAGGGAACTTACTGCTTTCAAAACATGGAAACAGCCCAAGTGTCCATCCACAGACTAATGTATAAATAAAATGTGGTGTACATATGCAACAGAATATTATTCATCCATAAAGAGGAATGAAGTCCTGACACATGCTACAGCACGGACAAACCTTGAACACAAACTGTGAAGTGAAATAAGCCAGACACAAAAGGACAAATATAGTATGCATGATTCTACTTATATGAAGGATCTATGACAGGCAAATTCACAGAAGTCTGGTAAGTAAAGATTACCTGGGTCTGAGGGAGTGGGGAATGGAGAATTATTGCTTAATAGGTGTAGAGTTTCTTTTTCTTTTTTTTTTTTTTTGAGTTGGAGTCTCACTCCGTCACCCAGGCTAGAGTGCAGTGGCAAGATCACAGCCACCCCAGCATTGACCCGCTGGGTTCCGGTGACCCTTCTACCTCAGCCTTCCAAGTAACTGGAACTACAGGTGTGTGCTACCATGCCTGGCTAATTTTTGATTTATTGTAGAGACGAGGTCTCACCAAGTTGCCTGGACTGGTCTCGAACCCTCAGGCTCAGACAATCCACTCGCCTCAGTTTCTCAAAGTGCTGGGATTACAGGCTGAGCCACTGAGCCCAGCCAGGCATAGAGTTTCTGTTTGGGGTGATAAAGCTTTGGAAACAGTGGTGATGGTTGCACCACAGCGTGCATGTAATTAATGCTGCTGAGTTGTACACCTAAAAGAGTCAAGATGACAAATTGTATATTATTTATATTTTTACCATTATAAAAAAGTTATTCTTACCTGTTCTTGAAGTCACACTCTCAGCGGCCAAGGTGGACATTTCTGGTGTAGTCAGAGGGGCAAAGGGACTTCCCGTCAGCGTATTGAGGGTGGCTGTGGTCTTCACCACAGTGGGGTTTGAACCTGTGGCAACTAAATTAGTGGTCTCAACCATTGTAGTTGTCAGGATAGTGACTGGATTTACTCCTTCCCCGTGACTGGTTTTAGGTGGTATTGGGGTCTCTGATGGCTTCAAGGTCATAGAGGTGCCTGTGACCTCCATGAAAAATTCTGGGAGTCCAACTGTAGTTATGGGTGATGAAGTCTTTGCATTCCAGGAAGTCACAGTATTAGGCTTACCAGTGGTTGTAGAGACACTGGCAAGCCCAGGGCCACCAGGGGAAATGGGCAGAGTTGGAAGACCTATGCCGGCCTGTGTTGAAGAGCTGGTGGCCAATATGCTTGTACTCTCTAAGAAACCAGGAGAAAGCATTGAAGTTGTAATAGTTGTGCTGGTGTCTGTCTCAGGATGGGTAGACAGTGAGGCTGTTTCTGCAGAAACACCTGGTGAACCAGTTTGGCCTAGATCAACTCTGCTACTCTCAGTCACAGGTGGGGTGAAGAGAGGTGATATGGTAGCTTGTGCACCAAGGGAAACAGTCTGAGCTGGAGGTGCTATAGTAATCTGTGTCCCAGTTCTGATGGATGGCGAGGCTGTGGTCTCCAATACACGAGGTAAAATAGTTGAAGTGGGAAATGTTGTACTTGTCTCTGCACTGGGGTGGGTGATCAATAAGGCGGTGGTTTCTGGTTCAATAGGAGAATGAGCCAGAGTTGGAATAATTGTACTGGTTGCCGTTCCAGAGCTAGTGACCTGTGATGTCACCATCCCTGATGCACCAGGAAAGTCAGTTAAAGTTGGAACAGCAGAACTTGTGTGTGTCCCAGGATGGGTGACAGCTGAGGCTGTGGTCTCTGGTTCACTGGGAGAGAGAGTCAGAGTTGGAAGCATTATACTGGTCACTGCCCCAGAACTAGTGACCTGTGAGGTCATCACATCTGGTACTCCAGGTGAGATCATTATTGTTGGAACAGCTGAACTGGCTTCTGCCCCGGGACTGGAGGTCGTTAGATGTGTGGTATCTGGTTTAGCATGGGAAAGGTTGGGGATTGTTCTGGAAGCAGGTGTGTTGGTCTCTGCAGGAGGGGTGACCCAGGAGGCTGTTGTATCTGGCTCACCTGAGGAAACAGGCAGAGTTGGAACAGTAGAACCAATCTGTTTCCCAGGATGGGTGACCAATGAGGTTGTGGTCTCTGGTATACCAGGAAAAAGAGTCAAAGCTGAAACGTTCATATTGGTGTCTGTCCTAGAGCTAGTGACTGCTGGGGTCACCACCCCTGGTATACTGGGTGAGGTGGTTTTAACTGGAACAGTTGAGTTGGTTTCCGTCCCAGGACTGGTGGCCATTGAGGGTGTGGTGTCTGACTTACTATAGGAAAAATCTGGGGCTGTCCTGGGAGCCGTAGGGCTGGTCTCTGCCAGAGGAGTGAGCCATGAGGCTGTTTTCCCGGGTTCATATGGGGGTTCAGTCACTATTGGGAGAGTTATATTTGTGTCTGTCTCAGAACTAGTGACCTTTGAGGTCACCATATCTGACACACCAGGTGAGGTACTCATAGTTGAAACAGCTGAATTGACTTCTGTCCCAGAACTGGTGGCCATCGAGGGTGAGGTGTCTGATTTACTATGGAGAAAATAGGGGGTTGTCCTGGAAACAATTGTGCTGGTCTCTTCAGGATGAGGGACCCCTGAGGCTGTTGTCTTTGGCTCATGTGGGGACTCATTCAGTGTTGGAAATGTACTGGTATCTGACCCAGAAGTGGTGGCCAGTGAGGTCATCATATCTGGTACACCAGGTGAGATAGTTGTTGTTGGAATGGCTGAACTACCTTCTGCCCCAGGACTGGTGATCATTGAAGGTATGGTGTCTGATTCATTATGGAGAGAACGTGGGGTTATTCTGGAAACAGGTGTGCTAGTTTCTGCAGGATGACTGACCCACCAGGCTGTTGTATCTGACTCATCAGGAGAAACAGGTATCGTTGGAGCAACCAAACTAGCTTCTGTCCAAGAATGTGTGTGCCATGAGGCTGTGGTATCTGGTTGACCTGAGGAAGCAGTCAGAGTTGGAATAGTTGTACTGGTCTTTTCCTCAGAAGTAGTGACCTGCGAGGTCACTAACCCTGATTCACTAGGGGAGACAGCCAGAGTCGGGACGGCAGAACTTGAGTGTGTCCCAGGATGGGTGGAAAGTGAGACTGTGGTCTCTAGTTCACCAGTGGAGAGAGTCAGAATCGGAAGAATTATACTGAGATCTGTCACAGAGGTAGTGACCTGTGATGTCGCCATCTCTGATACACCAGGAGAGACAGCAGGAGTTGGAAGGGAAGAACTTGAGTGTGTCCTAGGATGGGTGACAGATGAGGCTATGGTCTCCTGTTCCCCAGGAGAGAGAGTCAGAGTCGGAAGAGTTATACCCATGTCTGTCCCAGAGGTAGTGGCCTGTGATGTCACCATCTTTGATATACCACGGGAGGCAGCCAGAGATGGAATGACAGAACTTGAGTGTGTCCTAAGATGGGTGACAGATGAAGCTGTGGTCTTTGGTTCACCAGGGGAGACAGTCAGAGTCGGAAGAGTTATACTGAGATCTGTCCCAGAAGTAGTGACCTGTGATGTCACCCTCTCTGATACCCCAAGGGAGGCAGCTAGAGATGGAATGGCAGAACTTGAGTGTGTTCTAAGATGGGTGACAGATGAAGCTGTGGTCTTTGGTTCACCAGGGGAGACAGTCAGAGTCGGAAGAGTTATACTGAGGTCTGTCCCAGAAGTAGTGACCTGTGATGTCACCCTCTCTGATACCCCAGGGGAGGCAGCCAGAGTTGGAATGGCAGAACTCAAGTGTGTCCCAGGATGGGTGGAAAATGAGACTGTGGTCTCTGGTTCACCAGTGGAGAGAGTCAGAGTCGGAAGAGTTATATTGAGGTCTGTCCCAGAAGTCATGACCTGTGATGTCACCATCTCTGATACCCCAGGGGAGACAGCCGGAGATGGAGTGGCAGAACTTGAGTGTGTCCCAAGATGGGTGACAGATGAAGCTGTGATCTCTGATTCACCAACAGGAGGAGTTAGAATTTGGGTAGCTGTAGTGATTTCTGTCTCAGAACTAGTGACCCGTGAGGTTACCATATCTTTTACATCAGATGAGATAGTTATTGTTGGGACAGCTGAACTGACTTCTGCCCCAGGACTTGTGGCTATTAAGGGTGTGGTATGTGACTCACTATGGGAAAAATTTGAGGTTGTCCTGGGAACCATTTGACTAGTCTCTGCAGAAAGAGTCACCCATGAAATTGTTGTTTCTGATTCATGTGGGGACTCATTCGATGCTGAAAGACTTGTACTGGTGTCTGTCCCAAGACTAGTGACCAGCGAGGTCAGCATATCTGGTACACTTGCTGAGAAATGTGTTGTTGAAATGGCTGAACTAGAATCTGCCGCAGGACTGATATCTGTTGAAGATGTGCCGTATGACTTACTGTGGGAAAAAATTGAAGTTGTCCTGGTAGCAGTCGGGCTAGTTTCTGCAGGACTGGGCTCCATTAAGACTGTTGTATCTGGCTCATCAGTAGAGGCAGTCAAATCTGGAACAACAGAACTGGCTTCTGTCCCAGGATGAGTAACCCATGAGGCTGTGGCCTCTGGTTGACCTAGGGCAACAGTCAGAGTTGGAAACATACTGGTCTCTGCCACAGAACCAGTGACCCGTGAAGTTACTATCTCTGATACTCTAGGGGAGACAGTCAGAGTTGGAATGGCTGAAATTGTCTGTGCCTCAGAATGGGTGACCAATGAGGCTGTCGTCTCTGGTTCATCAGTAGAAATAGTCAGAGTTGGAATAGTTGTACTGGTCACTGCCATGGAACTAGTGACCAGAGAGGTCACTGCCCCCTGAGTCCCAGATGAAACAGTTTTTGGAGCAGCTGAACTGGCTTCTGTCCCATGACTGGTGGCTACTGAAGGTATGGTATCTGATTTACTGTGTAAAAAATTAGGCATTGTCCTGGGAACTGTTGGGCTGGTTTCTGCAGGATGAGTGACCCATAAGGCTGTTGTATCTGGCTCACCAGGGGAAATACTCAGAGTTGGAACAGCTGAACTGGCTTCCATTTCAGGATGGGTGACCTGTGAGGCTGTGGCATCTAGTTGACTGGAGGAAATGGTCAGAGTTGGAATAGTTGTACTTGTCTCTGCCCCAGAACTAGTGACCAGTGCTGTCACCACCCCCAATACACCAGGTGAGATAGTTGCAGTTAGAATGGCTGAACTGGTCTGTGTTCCAGGATGGGTGACCAATGACTGTGTAGTCTCTGGTTTACCAGGAGAAAGAGTCAGACTTGAAATAGCTGTACTGGTGTCTGGCCCAGAACTAGTGACCACTGAGGTCTCCAGACCTGGTACACTAGGTAAAATCGTTGTAGTTGAAACAACTGAATGGGCTTGTGCCCCAGGACTGGTGGCCACTGAGAGTGTGGCGTCAGACTCACTATGGGAAAAATCTGGGACTGTCCTGGAAACTACTGGGCTGGTTTCTGACGGATGAGTAATCCATGAGGCTGTTGTCTCTAGTTCACGTGGAAGCACAGTCGGTGTTGGAAGAATTGTACTGATGTGTGTCTCAGAACCAATGACCAGTGAGGTCACCACTTCTGGTATATTAGAAAAGACAACTGATGTTGGAAGAGCTGAACCAATGTCTTCTACAGGACTGGTAGCTGTTGAAGGTGTAGTATCTGATTTACTATGGGAAACACTCAGGGTTGTTTTGGAAATAGGTGGGGTGGTCTCTGCAGGATGGATGACCCAGGAGGCTGTTGTATCTGGCTCACCAGGGGAAACAGCCAGAGTTTGAATAGCTGAACTGGTCTCTGACCCAGAACTGGGGACCAGTGAGACTGTGGTCTCTGATTCTCCATTAAAAATAGGTAGGGTTGTCCTGGGAACATCTGTGCTGATCTCTGCTCCAAGTCTGGTGGCCAGTGAGGATGTCATTACTGGGGAAACATCTGGGGTTCTGATCATCATTCTTGTTGTGATTGTGTTAGTCATTTGCACTGGTATCTTCAGGGGAGTCAGTGTTTCCGAAGTGGGAGTATAGACTTTGGTGGTCAAAGTGGCTGTGGAGGTGGTCTTCAGAGATGTGGTGGTGGTCTTTGCTTTTTCTGTCTCTCTTGTATGTAGTCCTGTGAATTGGGGGATGGACACACAATTTGAACAAAATTATTGCACCTAATGAACTGGCAGTAGTTTATTTTTTTCTCCACTTGGAGGAAAATAAGAGGCATTACTCTCAGTGACTGCTGCCTGGGATATGCCTGGGATGCTTCTGGAATGGGAAAAGGGACTGTGATAAGTAGGGCCCCACCTTCCCATCTAATCTTGGTCTATAACTCCTCCATGAATTCTTGGCCATACCAGTTCACTCCCTGCTCACTCTCAGTTTTCTGCACCGTCCAGTCTCTGAGCCTTGGTCAAGCTCTTCTCTCTGCCCGATGTGCCCCACTCCACAGCATATGTTCTATCCTTCTTGAAACCTAAGCTCAAACCAACCTCTGCTGACTCACGTCAGGACTCATCTCCCTCTTCTCAGTACTTCCTTATCCCGCTGTCTGAACCTGTGTTGTGCCTTCTCTCATAGTCTGGTTGATAACAGCTATTAATGGCGGACTATTTGGTATACAGTAGGTGCTCAAGAAATATTTGAGTAAACAAATGAGTGAATGAATATGCAGTTGAATGTACATGTAAGTGGATTTCCTCTGACCTGAGAGTGATTATGTATCGAGTATCATGTGCTCGAGTGCTTGGGCTCTGGAATAAGATAGTCCCTCACTAGGATTCTGGCTCTTTCACTAAAGAGATGGCTGGCTTTTTAAGTTACCAAATCTTGCTAGATCTCTATTTTATCAATAGAGTGGGGATAAATACAGTGTTGGGAAAAATGCACCAAGCACAGTACCTCCTGGATCACAGTAAGACTTTATTATTACTGCCAGTAATATTACTTACTATTCCTCTTGTGACTACCACTGCTACTACCTACTACTACGGCTGCTATCACTATCACTGCCACTACCTACCATTGCTGCTGTTCTTACTACTACTGCTGCCACTACTATTACTGCCTATTACTATGGCTGTGATTAAAGTTGTTACCAGCACTTACTAGTGCTATTACTACTGTTGATATCTCTACTACCTACTATTACTACTACCATTTCTACTACAGAGCAATCGTTTGTTAAATCGAATTCTCCAGCAACCACACTAGACCAATAACAGAGCTGGCCAAGGTGACTTAAATACATCCTCAGAAGAAGATTAAAGTAGCATTGACTGAAACAGTAGCTACTGACCAGGGCTTCAGAAAATGGTTTCCAGAGAAGGGGAAGAACTACTTGGAGGCTTCTCTAGAAAGCCCACAAAGGCTACTGGAACTTGGTATGTAAAGAGGAACCAAATAAAGGAGATTTGGCTTATGATGGAGCAATGTCCTTGGGCTGCTGAATATACTCTAAAAATGACACATCTGAGAATAGATGTAAAGTGTTTCATATGCATTTGAGGATGAGGAGGAGGCAGAAGAAAAAGAAGAGGAGGAGGAAGAGGAGGAGGAGAAACAATTGCAAAGCTCCTGACATGCATTGTCTCTTTGATCCTCACAAGAACATTGACTATCCTACTATTCTTGTCATTTTACAGGAGAGAAAGAAATACAGAAATCATAATTTGCCAAGGTCCCACAGCTACTGACTGATAGTGTGAAAATTTGAACGTAGTTCTATCTGAATCTTTTTTTTTTTTTGAGTTGGAGTCTCACTTGGTCACCCAGACTGGAGTGCAGTGGCCGCTCCCGGCCACCGCAGCCTCGCCTGCTGGGCTCTGGCGATCCTTCCGCCTCAGCCTTCCGAGTAGCCGGAATTACAGGCATGCGCTACCACGCCCGGCTGATTTTTTGATTTATTGTAGAGATGAGGTCTCGCTGCCCAGGCAGGTCTCGAACCAGCAGGTTCAGGCAATCCACTCACCTCAGCCTCCCAAAGGCGCGGGTTTACAGGCTGAGCCACCGAGCCCGGCTTTATCTGAATCTTAAACCTGTGCTCTTACCCATTGCATCGTATTAATTCCCAAACTGAATTTCTGGACCTTGTTGATAGTCAGGATGGAAAGAGGAAATGTAGGGAGAAAATATGGGATAGAAGGATCTTAGCAAGCATTCTATAGTTCTGTAGTTCTCAACCAGGGGCAGTTTTGCTTCCAGGAACATTTAGCAATGTCTAGGGACATTTTTAGTTGACATAGCTCTATTTGTATGGATGCTATGGGCATCTAGAATAGAAGCCAGGGAAACTGCTAAACAACCTGCAATGTTCAGGACAGCCTCCACCACAAAGAGCTATCTGCCCCCAAATATCAATAGTGCCGAGACTGAGAAACACAGATTTATACATTTTTTAAAAAGCCAATGAATACTGTTGGCTATCCCTCATAAACTTTCCCATCTATTATTTATCACCTGAAACCCAGTGATCCATTTTCTGGTGACCTGAAGTGGCTGACTTTATCAATACCCCCTTATATCTCATTAGCACTCACTGGCGCAGTATAGTGACCACAGTGAGTTCCAACCACAGCTCCCGTGAATCCACACCTAAGGTCTTTTATTCAGCCTGTGTGGGGAGCAGGCTGGAAGCGCTGAGGACGATCATTTCTGGGAGCAAGCAGCTCACGGCCAGCAATAGAAGGGAGTTGGGTGATAAATACCCAACCACCTTGCCTTTGGGATAGGATAATGCTGAGATGTTCTATGCCATCTCCCAGAAGACCCTAGTGGGATTGACACTCTGTTTTCCATAACTTGTTCATAAATGCACCTTACACCAAGCATTAACTTACTTTTATTTTTTATCTCTTCTACCAATGCTTTTGGGGACCACCCCCCACATAAAATAAACTCCTTGTCCCCATGTCCTTAACTCAATGTCTTCTTCTGGGGATACCCAATCTAATATATTTGGGTCACAAGATAAGACTAATAACCTGACTGGAGGTGACTCTATCCGAAGCCTGGATCTTGCAAAAGCTTCAACAATGAGCTAGCAAAATAGTCTGGAATATCTATGGAAAGCAGTATGAAGATTTCTCAAACAACTAAAAGTAGATCTACCATTTGATTTGGCTATCCCACTGCTAGATATCTACTTAAAGGAACAGCGGTCATTATATATATAAATTATATTATATATAAGTTCTATATATATATAAATGTATATGTGTGTATAGTGTGTATACCTATAATGTATAATACTATATGTAATCTATTCAGCAGTGATTTAATGAGTATAGGAAGCCTTATGCTTTTAGCCACCCAATGAGAAGACCCCTTGCCACATAACACCTATACTTCTCAAACATTCAAGCAGGACAATATTGCTGTTCAACGTTAGTAGGTATCTTTCAGAGGAAAAAAATTATGTAGTCAAATAATTATGTAAAAATTATGTAGTCAAATTATGTAAAAATTATGTAGTCAAAAAAAATTATGTAGTCAAATAATTGTGTTAAATTGTGGTTGAGCAAAGCTAAACACATTTCTTTACAGTAGAATTTCTCAGTCTTTAATATGCTCATGTATGTGATGATGCCTTCAGAAGGAGCAACATGTTTGCTAAATTTTGTGACCATACAATTCTATGTCCTTATTTAAAGAACATCCGAGCATTACCAAGGCTTAGAAGGTTTTCTGAATGTTGCTTTATACCCATGTCTCCTGTGTCACAGAATAAGTTAACATAGAATAAGTGCTGTATAAATATTTGCTGTTGTTATTATTACTACTGTCATCATCAGCACTAGTAGTAACTTAGGGCACCTGCTATGATATTGTAATGGTTCAACTAGTTGCTTATTTATCTTTGTTTTCCCAATGCCTAGCCCAGTGCTTGAACTGAAATTCAACAAATATTTGCTAAAATAATTTCTGGCACAGGAATAAACTCCCAGTTTATTAAAGGAATAAACTTTTAGTTCATTCCTCCCTCTCATATTTCAGCAAAAGTAAATTATTTGTACCTTCCAGATATTTCCAAGTTTCACCTCTCTCTGGGTCTTTTCATGTTGCTCTCCCTTCTCCCCTATCTTCCTGGTAAACTCCTACGTAGTCTTAAAACCCAATTCAAACATTACCTCCTCCATGAAACCTTCATTCTGTATTCCAATATATCTTCATTGCATACTTTTAGAGTTGCATCATAATTACTGTTTTTTTTCTTTTCTGTCTCTCCTACTGGACTGAGTGCTTCATGATTCAATGCCAAATTAATTTTGTCTGTACATCCTCAGTTTATAGAAGAGTTTTTGACACATAGTGATTTACTAATAAGCCTTTTTAGAATTTAGTTAAACTGGATCACATTTGTGAACATTTGTCCCAGAATGCAATGAGTGAAGGAAAAAATGTGGCATTCACCTGGTAGCCATTAGACAAAGATCCATGACAGCCACATGTAATTCTCTCTCTAAAGAAAACAAGCATTTTGTCTCGTTGAAGCAGGAAATATGGTCATGTATGGAATTACTGGGAAGCAAACAAAGTTAAACTTACCTCTAGGACTAGAAGGCGATGTGGCTGCCAGAGGGCCTTTGATTGGTCCTATCGTGCTCCCATGTTTTGCATCATTGGGTATCTTTGTGATGCGCTCCATAACGTGTTCAGTTCCTATAGGTGAGGGTGAAAAAGAACTGGGGTAACTCATCTCATCCAGAAAGAGAACACTGTCTAAATTAGTCCACTTAATTGACTACATAATATTCCTTTTCTCAAGTCTGCCATAAGTTGTCACATCAGTTCATAGATCCATTCATTTACCCATAGATTTATCCATTTTTTTCATTCATACCTAGAGCTTACCATCTATGCTGGCATCTTTTCTTCTTTTTATCCTTTATTCTTACCATCCATCCTTCCTTTCATATTTCCTCCTTTTATTTTTTTTATCTCTTTTCTTTATCAGTCTAAACTTCTTTCCTTCAAACTAATTTCCTTCAGTCCTCTCTTCCATCTATTTTTTCTTTTCATCCTTCCTTCTATACATCTTTCCTTCCTTCTGTTTATCTTTCCTTCCATTCATCTATCTTTCTATTTTTTCTTTCATACTTCCATCCACCCAGCTACATATATACCTTTTCACCACTCCACTTGTCACTTGCTTACTGAACACCCATGATTCAACTACTGAGCCACATTTTAACGCATAGGTCAATAGCCACCAACATGTCTAATGTTATTATGAATTGTAAAACTAGTTTAAGGGAGAGGAGATCAAATCATTCTTCTGCAGATATTGTCAGTGAAGTAGGAGTTACAGTAGTTGAACTCTTTGGATTTATGTCCAGAATCAAAGTTGGGGGAAAATTCAATCCTTTCAGAGGAATGGAATCCCCAAGAGGTCCCTTCCTTCAACTACTGATCTCTTGGAAGTAGTGTCTCCTCTTCCTAGGCTTTGAATCTCTCCTACCTTCTTAGTACTTTATTCTGTCAATTTTTACTTACATTTTTCTTTAGCTTATCTCTTGATTTAGACTCTTCTCAATACAGAAACATGCTCAACTCAAAGGGCAAGCCCTCCTTTATATCTATGTATTATTTTAGCTATTTTTCTAGTACATACACCTCATAAATACTCCCTTTACTAGAATCCTTGAGGACTCCCATGTTGCCAAAGCACTTCTCACTTCATTTCAGCTTGGCTATTCTGCAGTATTTGAAAGAATTTACCATTTCTTCTTCCTAAAACTGTTCCCTCCTATGGCATCTGTGATGACAAAATTTCTTGTTTTTCCTTCTATCTCACTAACCGCACCACTTAGCCTAGTGGTTAAGAGCATGAATGTCTAGTGACATGTAGTCTCAGTTCTTAGCCTAGTTCTGTCATTTACTATATTTATGACCTTAAGAAAATTACTTAACCTCTTTGTGCCTCAATTTCCTCACCTCTAAAATAGGTGTATAATAGTTTCTACTTCAAATAGTGTTACAGTGAAGGTCTAATAACTTAATAAAACAGCACTTAGCACAGAATAAGTGCTGTATAAATATTTTGGGTTGTTATTATTGCTGTTGTCATTATCAGCACTAGCAGTAACATTAGAACACCTACTATGATACTATAATGGCTCAACTACTTGCTTATTTATCTTTGTTTTCCCAATGGTTAGCCCAGTGCTGAAACTGACAATCAGGAAATATTTGCTAAAATAATTTCTGGTGCAGGAATAAACGTCTAGTTAACTCTTTTTTTTTACCTCCTAGGAGAGGGTCACTTTCTGTGAGACCCCCAAGAATGGAATTGTAGGGGCTGTGGGTCCTTACTTGGCAACTGAGTTGAGAATGGAGGAACTTGATTAGCACTTGTCACTTTTTCCAACTCAGCACTCTTTGTCATTCTTGTATCCAAAATGGATGATAAAGATGTCCTGACTGGTTGGGTCCAAGTCTCTGAAGTACTGACATTTACCAAGGGTCCTTCAGTAGTGCTGCTTTCAAACCCAAGACTGGTATTCACTGGATGTGGGGAAGCTGGAGAGGAAGTAATCCCAGGGAGGGCTGGGATGATTGAAGAATCAGTGGTAGTGGAGGTTGAAGAGGGGAATGGGGTTGAAGTGGATAACGATAAGCTTTCTGCAGTGGTGGACAGAGCAGCATCCCTAGAGCTTGACTCTATCTTAGAGAATGGACTGCCTGAAACCAAACTGGCTGCTGGAACTCCAGTTATGGCAAATGACGCCATGGTCTCTGATGAAGAAGACATCAATGTGTCATCTGAAATGGTCTCAGTTGAAGGCAGCATACCTGTACTCAAGCGATAGGTACTTTCTGACACAGACATAGAAAACTTGGATTCTGGGAAGGCAGTTACCCCAGTGGACTCTATAACAGATGGAGACGCATCAAAGGGGGTGATTATCTTTACTGGAATTTCAGTATACTGCAAGAATGGAGGCTGGTCTGAGACCGGTATTTTCACAGAGGAGGTGACATCAGTCTTGCCACTCTGCAAAAGGTGAGTGGACACAGGAGATGATGGTGTTTGTGTTGGTGTGGCTGAGCTGGTGCCCAGGGACATGCTAGTTTCTCTTAATCCAGAAGTCATATGAGAAAGTGGTTCTACCTTAAATCCTGTGGTCTCAGAATAGGTGGGCATTGATGTGGAAATAGTGGTTTCTGCCATGGAAGAGGAAGTACCCATTGGATATGTAGCTATGGGTGATTCAGAGTGAATTGGGACAGAGACAGGGAGCACATGTTTGGAAGCAGAGGTCCCCACGCTGGTCACTGCTGTGTTTGAAGAAAGTTGAATTTCCTCTGTATCTGTGATGACTTCAGAGGTGGCCAGCATTTCAGTTGAGGTGCTGTTCAAATTAGGAGATGAACCAGTTCCAGGTTCTGAGTGTGTGTCCAACACATCTGTAGTCTTCATCAGGCCTGGAGTAGGAAATGAAGTCACAGGAAGAGGAGAGGAGGGGACACTCTCTGGAGATATTGAGGAAATAGACGAAGGTGCGTTTGTGGCAGATAAAGACAGCAGAGAAGAGACAGAGCTAGTTTCTTCCACAGAGGGATGACTCGACCATGACATTTCTTCAGAATCTCTTCCCATATGTGTGATCATCTCTGAGAGTGAAAATCCGTGAGTCACAGATGAGTGAGTCCCTAACCAGGAGGCGGTGCTTGATATGTCTAAGGCAAGGGTACGCTGTGCTGTAGACCCAGGAAGACCTGTCTGGGTAGTGATGGTCATTTCTTCTGATTTTGTTGCAATGGGGGAGGTAGGGAGCATGGTGGTGGTTTCTGTGGAGAAGACTGGTGTCACTGTGGGCTGAGCAGAACCTGGGATGCTGGACAAAGTGACTTCTGACCTGGAGACCTCAGTAGAATCACCAGTGAGCACTTCAGAAAGGACAGTGCTTGTCTCTCTGTCTAAGCTGGTTCCCTCATAGTGGCTGGTCTCCCTCAATCCAGGGGTCAGGGAGGGTGTTGTCTGTGTCTGAATTCCGCTAGTTCCAAAGAAGGCAGAAGTTGACATGGGAACACTTGTATCCCCTACCAAGGTGGAGGTGGTAACCACAGGAAATGAGGCTTTGGCTGTCTCTGAGTCAGGTATAACAGAGAAATGGGATTCCTGTCCGGAATGGGAGGTTTCCACATTGGTCACTGCTGGGATTGAGGAAAGATGAATTTTCTCTGTATCTCTGGTGACTTCAGAGGTAGCCAGTATGTCAACAGAAGTGCTGCTCAAATTTGAAGGTGAACTACTGTCAGCTTCTGAGCTTGTGCCCAACACATCTGTAGTCTCCCTCAGGCCTGGGGTGAGAATTAAAGTCACAGGAAAAGGAGAGGAGGGGGCGTGCATGAGCAATGTGGAGGCAACAGGAGAAGGTGAGTTTGTGGCAGGCACAGACATCAAAGAAGAGGAAGAGGTAACTCCTTCCACAGGGGGAGGGCCCGTCCCCGACACCCTTTCAGGGCCCCTGCTCATAAGGGTTGTCACTTCTGAGTGTTGAAATCCTTGAGACAAGGTTGAGTGGGACCCTGCCAAGGACCTGGTTGTGGCTGACTTGCCCAAGCTAAGGGTACCCCGTGATGGAGACACCGGAGAACTTGTTTGGGATGTCACGGTCGTATCTGCAGATTCTGACATAATGGAAATGGAGGAAGCAGAAAGGCTGCCGATGGTTTCTGCAGACATGGGTGATGACACTGAGGACTGAACTGGGACAGAGACGGATGGTCTGGTAGAAGAGATGACATCTGTTCTGGAGACCCCAGTCATAGCACTAGCCGGAACCTGGGGAAGGAAAGGGCTGCTCTCGGTGACTGAGCTAGTTTCTTCAGGATTGCTGGTCTTCCCCCATCCAGACATCAGTGAGGAAGCTGGCGTCGTCTGAAATCCCCCAGTCTCACGGAGGGCGGGAGTTGATAAGAACAGAGTGATGGCCTTGGCAGGGGAGTTGGTACCCACTGGCGATGTGATTGTGGTGCCTTCCGAGTGAGCTCGGACAGAGGACGAGGATTCCCGTGCAGAACTGGAGGTCCCCACTCTAGAGGTCACTGCAGGGTTTGGGGAAGGATGGCTTTTGACTGAATCTGTGGTGGCTTCAGAGGTGGCCAGTGTGTCAACTGAGGTGCTGCTCGAATTTGGAGGCGAACTGGTTTCAGGTTCTGAACTTGAGCCCGACACATGTGCAGTCTTCACCCGGCCTGAAGTGAGAAATGAAGTCCCAGGAAGAGGAGAAGGGCGGATACTCTCTGCAAATGTGGAGGGAACAGGAGAAGGTGAGTTGGTGGCAGGTAGAGACAGCAGAGAAGAGGAAGAGGTAGTTTCTGCTTCGGCATGAGGGCTCACGTGTGACACCTTTCCAGAGCTTGTGCTCATAAGACTGGTCATCTCTGGGTGTGGAGGCCCTTGAGAAATGGTTGACTGGGACCCGGCGAAGGAGGTTGCGACTGACGTGCCCAGGGTATGGGTTCCCTGGGTTTGGGTAGTGAGGGCCATTCCTGCAGATTTCGAGACAGGGGAGAAGGGAGTGATGGCTTCCTTAGAGATGCTTGATGATACTGTGGACCGGTCAGGGCCTGGGATGGTTGTCCTGCTAAAAGCCACGGCTTCTGTCCTGGAGCCTGCAAAGGTAGCACTAGCGGGCACTTTGGAAAGGACAACACTTTTCTCTGTGGCCAAGGTGGCCTCTACAAAGGCGCTGGTCTCCTTCAACCCAGAAGTCACTGACCAACTTGTCTCCGTCTGAAATGTCCTGGCCTCGGCGGATGCAGAAATCGATGTGGGACGAATGGTATCCTCCATGGTGGACGTGGCACCCACTGGAGACGTGGTGCTGGCTGTTTCTGAGGCAGCTAGGCCAGGGGATGTAGATTCACGAGCAGAACTGGAGGTCCCCGCATTGGTCACTGCCACATGTGAAAAAGGATGACTTTTCTCTGTATCTATGGTGAATCCAGAGGTGGTTGGTAGGTCAACCGAGGTGCGGCTCCAACTTGGAGGCGAGTTGGTTTCTCCTTCTGAGCTTGTGCCCAACACATCTGTAGTCTCCCTCAGGCCTGGGGTGAGAAGTGAAGTCACAGGAAGAGAAGAAGAGGGGACGTTCATGAGCAATGTGGAAGCAACAGGAGAAGGTGAGTTTGTGGCAGGCACAGACATCAAAGAAGAGGAAGAGGTAGCTCCTTCCACAGGGGGAGGGCCCGTCCCCGACACCCTTTCAGGGCCCCTGCTCATAAGGGTTGTCACTTCTGAGTGTTGAAATCCTTGAGACAAGGTTGAGTGGGACCCTGCCAAGGACCTGATTGTGGCCGACTTGCCCAAGCTAAGGGTACCCCGTGATGGAGACACCGGAGAACTTGTTTGGGACGTCACGGTCATTTGTGCAGATTCTGACATAATGGAAACGGAGGAAGCAGAAAGTCTGCCGATGGTTTCTGCAGACATGGGTGATGACACTGAGGACTGAACTGGGACAGAGACGGATGGTCTGGTAGAAGAGATGACATCTGTCCTGGAGACCCCAGTCGTAGCACTAGTCGGCACCTGGGGAAGGAAAGGGCTGCTCTCGGTGACTGAGCTAGTTTCTTCAGGATTGCTGGTCTTCCCCCATCCAGACGTCAGCGAGGAAGCTGGTGTTGTTTGAAATCCCCCAGTCTCATGGAGGGGAGTTGATGAGAAAAGAGTGATGGCCTTGGCAGGGGAGTTGTTACCCATTGGCAATGTGATTGTGGTGCCTTCCGTGTGAGCTCGGACAGAGGACGAGGATTCCTGGGCAGAACTGGAGGTACCCACTCTAGAGGTCACTGCAGGGTTTGGGGAAGGATGGCTTTTGAGTGGATCTGTGGTGGCTTCAGAGGTGGCCAGTGTGTCAACTGAGGTGCTGCTCGAATTTGGAGGCGAACTGGTTTCAGGTTCTGAACTTGAGCCCGAAACATCTGCAGTCTTCACCGGGCCTGAAGTGAGAATTGAAGTCCCAAGAAGAAAAGAGGGGTGGATATGCTTTGCAAATGTGGAGGGAACAGGAGAAGGTGAGTTGGTGGCCGAAAGAGACAGCAGAGAGGAGGAAGAGGTAGTTTCTGCTTCGGCATGAGGACTCATGTGTGACACCTTTCCAGGGCTTGCGCTCATATGAGTGGTCCTCTCTGGGTGTGGAGGCCTTTGAGACACGGTTGACTGGGGCCGGGCCCAGGAGGTTGCGGCTGACGTGCCCAAGGTATGAGTTCCCTGCGGTGTCACAGGAGAACTTGTTTGGATAGCGAGGGCCATTCCTGCAGATTTCGAGACAGGGGAGAAGGGAGTGATGGTTTCCTTTGAGACGCTTGATAACACTGTGGACCGGTCAGGGCCTGGGATGGTTGTCCTGCTAGAAGCCATGGCTTCTGTCCCGGAGCCCTCAATGGTAGCCCTAGCGGGCACTTCGGAAAGGACAGCACTTGTCTCTGTGGCGAAGGTGGCCTCTGCAAAGGCGCTGGTCTCCTTCAACCCAGAAGTCACCGACAAACTTGGCTCCGTCTGAAATGTCCTGGCCTCAGCGAATGCAGAAATCGATTCAAAATGAACGGTATCCTCCATGGTGGAGGTGGCACCCACTGGAGACGTGGCGCTGGCTGTTTCTGAGCCAGCTAGGTCAGAGGATGTGGATTCATGAGCAGAACTGGAGGTCTCCACTCTGGAGGTCACTGCAGGGTTTGGGGAAGGATGGCTTTTGACTGGATCTGTGGTGACTTCAGAGGTGGCCAGTGTGTCAACTGAGGTGCTGCTTGAATTTGGAGGCGAACTGGTTTCAAGTTCTGAGCTTGAGCCTGGCACATCTGCAGTCTTCACCGGGCCTGAAGTGAGAATTGAAGTCCCAGGAAGAGGAGAGGGGCGGATACGCTTTGCAAATGTGGAGGAAATAGGAGAAGGTGAGTTGGTGGCCGGTGGAGACATCAGAGAAGAGTAAGAGGTTGTTTCTGCTTTGGTATGAAGGCTTGTTTGTGACACCTTTTCAGGACTTGCACTCCGAAGCGTGGTCCTCGCTGGGTGTGGCGGTCCTTGAGACACGGTTGAGCGGAGCCCTGACAACGAGGCTGCGGTTGAGGTGCCCAAGGTATGGGTTCCCTGTGGTGTCACAGGAGAACTTGTTTGGTTAGTGAGGGTCGTTTCTGCAGACTTTGGGCCAGAGGAGAAGGGCGTGATGGTTTCCTTAGAGACACTAGATGACATTGTGGACCGGTCAAGGCATGGGATGGTGGTCCTGCTAGAGGCCACGACTTCTGTCCTGGAGCCCTCAGTAGCAGCTCTGGTGGGCATGTCGGAAAGCACAGCACTTGTCTCTGTGGCCAAGCTGGCCTCTTCAAAGGCACTGGTCTCCTTCGAGCCAGAAGTCACTGAGGAACTTGTCTCTGTCTGAAATGTCCTAGCCTCAGTGGATGCAGAGAGCGATGTGGAATGAACGGCATCCTCCATGGTGGAAGTGGCACCCACTGGAGATGTGGCTGTGGTTGTTTCTGAGTCAGCCAAGACAGAGGATGTGGATTCAGGAGCAGAACTGGAGGTCCCCGCATTGGTCACTGCTACGTTTGAGAAAGGATGAATTTTTTCTGTATCTGTGGTGATTCCAGAGGTGGTCAGCAGGTTAATCGAGGTGTGGCTCCAACTTGGACGTGAACTGGTTTCTGCTTCTGAGCTTGTGATCAACACATCTGAAGTCACTCTCAGACCTGGGGTGAGAAGTGAAGTCACAGGAAGAGGAGAGGAGGGTATCCTCTCTGCAAATGTGGAGGAGACTGGAGAAGGTGAGTTGGTGGCCGGCAGAGACAGCAGAGAAGAGGAAGAGGTAGTTTCTGCTTTGGTATGAGGGCTCACGTCTGACACCTTTTCAGGACTTGCGCTCCTAAGAGTGGTCATCTCTGGGTGTGGAGGCCCTTGAGACACGGTTGACTGGGACCCGGCCAAGGAGGTTGTGGCTGACATGCCCAAGGTATGGGTTCCCTGCAATGTCACAGGAGAACTTGTTTGGGTAGCGAGGGCCATTCCTGCAGATCTTGAGACAGGGGAGAAGGGAGTGATGGTTTCCTTAGAGACGCTTGATGACACTGTGGACCGGTCAGGGCCTGGGATGGTTGTCCTGCTAGAGGCCACGGCTTCTGTCCCGGAGCCCTCAATGGTAGCCCTAGCGGGCACTTTGGAAAGGACAGCACTTGTCTCTGTGGCCAAAATGGCCTCTGCAAAGGCGCTAGTCTCCTTCAACCCAGAAGTCACCGATGAATTTGGCTCCGTCTGAAATTTCCTGGCCTCGGTGAATGCAGAAATCGATTCGGAAAGAACGGTGTCCTCCATGGTGGACGTGGCACCCACTGGAGACGTGGTGCTGGCTGATTCTGAGCCAGCTAGGCCAGAGGATGTGGATTCACGAGCAGAACTGGAGGTCCCCACATTGGGCACTGCTACGTGTGAAAAACGATGACTTTTCTCTGTATCTATGGTGAATCCAGAGGTGGTCGGTAGGTCAACCGAGGTGCGGCTCCAACTTGGAGGCGAGCTGGTTTCTCCTGAGCTTGTGCCCAACACATCTGTAGTCTCCCTCAGGCCTGGGGTGAGAAGGGAAGTCACAGAAAGAGGAGAAGAGGGGACGTTCATGAGCAATGTGGAAGCAACAGGAGAAGGTGAGTTTGTGGCAGGCACAGACATCAAAGAAGAGGAAGAGGTAGCTCCTTCCACAGGGGGAGGGCCCGTCCCCGACACCCTTTCAGGGCCCCTGCTCGTAAGGGTTGTCACTTCTGAGTGTTGAAATCCTTGAGACAAGGTTGAGTAGGACCCTGCCAAGCTCCTGGTTGTGGCTGACTTGCCCAAGTTAAGGGTACCCCGTGATGGAGACACCGGAGAACTTGTTTGGGACGTCACGGTCATTTGTGCAGATTCTGACATAATGGAAACGGAGGAAGCAGAAAGGCTGCCGATGGTTTCTGCAGACATGGGTGATGACACTGAGGACTGAACTGGGACAGAGACGGATGGTCTGGTAGAAGAGATGACATCTGTCCTGGAGACCCCAGTCATAGCACTGGTCGGTACCTGGGGAAGGAAAGGGCTGCTCTCGGTTACTGAGCTAGTTTCTTCAGGATTGCTTGTCTTCCCCCATCCAGACATCAGCGAGGAGGCTGGTGTCGTCCGAAATCCCCCAGTCTCACGGAGGGGAGTTGATGAGAAAAGAGTGATGGCCTTGGCAGGAGAGTTGTTACCCATTGGCGATGTGATTGTGGTGCCTTCCGAGTGAGCTTGGACAGAGGACGAGGATTCCCGTGCAGAACTGGAGGTCCCCACTCTAGAGGTCACTGCAGGGTTTGGGGAAGGATGGCTTTTGAGTGGATCTGTGGTGGCTTCAGAGGTGGACAGTATGTCAACTGAGGTGCTGCTCGAATTTGGAGGCAAACTGGTTTCAGGTTCTGAACTTGAGCCCGAAACATCTGCAGTCTTCACCGGGCCTGAAGTGAGAATTGAAGTCCCAGGAAGAAAAGAGGAGTGGATATGCTCTGCAAATGTGGAGGGAACAGGAGAAGGTGAGCTGGTGGCCGGTAGAGACAGCAGAGAGGAGGAAGAGGTAGTTTCTGCTTCGGCATGAGAACTCATGTGTGACACCTTTCCAGGGCTTGCGCTCATAAGAGTGGTCCTCTCTGGGTGTGGAGGCCTTTGAGACACGGTTGACTGGGGCCGGGCCCAGGTGGTTTCGGCTGACATGCCCAAGGTATGAGTTCCCTGCGGTGTCACAGGAGAACTTGTTTGGCTAGTGAGGGCCATTCCTGCAGATTTCGAGACAGGGGAGAAGGGAGTGATGGTTTCCTTAGAGACGCTTGGTGACACTGTGGACCGGTCAAGGCCAGGGATGGTTGCCCTGCTAGAAGCCACGGCTTCTGTCCCAGAGCCCTCAATGGTAGCCCTAGTGGGCACTTCGGAAAGGACAGCACTTGTCTCTGTGGCAAAGGTGGCCTCTGCAAAGGCGCTGGTCTCCTTCAACCCAGAAGTCACCGACGAACTTGGCTCCGTCTGAAATGTCCTGGCCTCGGCGAATGCAGAAATCGATTCGGAATGAACGGTATCCTCCATGGTGGAGGTGGCACCCACTGGAGACATGGCGCTGGCTGTTTCTGAGCCAGCTAGGTCAGAGGATGTGGATTCATGAGCAGAACTGGAGGTCTCCACTCTGGAGGTCACTGCAGGGTTTGGGGAAGGATGGCTTTTGACTGGATCTGTGGTGACTTCAGAGGTGGCCAGTGTGTCAACTGAGGTGCTGCTTGAATTTGGAGGCGAACTGGTTTCAAGTTCTGAGCTTGAGCCTGACACATGTGCAGTCTTCACCGGGCCTGAAGTGAGTATTGAAGTCCCAGGAAGAGGAGAGGGGCGGATACGCTCTGCAAATGTGGAGGAAATAGGAGAACGTGAGTTGGTGGTCGGTGGAGACATCCGAGAAGAGGAAGAGGTAGTTTCTGCTTTGGCATGAGGGCTCACGTGTGACACCTTCTCAGGACTTGCGCTCCTAAGAGTGGTCCTCTCTGGGTGTGGAGGCCCTTGAGACATGGTTGACTGGGGCCAAGCCCAGGAGGCTGTGGCTGACGTGCCCAAGGTGTGGGTTCCCTGCGGTGTCACAGGAGAACTTGTTTGGGTAGTAAGGGTTGTTTCTGCAGACTTTGGGCCAGGGGAGAAGGGCGTGATGGTTTCCTTAGAGACGCTTGATGACATTGTGGACCGGTCAAGGCCTGGAATGGTGGTCCTGCTAGAGGCCATGACTTCTGTCCTGGAGTCCACAGTAGCAGCTCTAGAGGGCACATTGGAAAGGACAGCACTTGTCTCTGTGGCCAAGCTGACCTCTTCAAAGGCGCTGGTCTCCTTCAACCCAGAAGTCACGGAGGAACTTGGCTCCATCTGAAATGTCCTAGTCTCAGCAGAGGTAGAAGTTGATGTGGAACGAATGGCATCCCGCACGGAGGACGTGGTACCCTCTGAAGATGTGGCTAGGGTTGTTTCTGAGTCAGCTAGGAGAGAGGATGTGGATTCATGAGCAGAACTAGAGGTCCCCGCGTTGGTCACTGCCACGTGTGAGAAAGGATGAATTTTCTCTGTATCTTTG